CCTTGCACTTCACCTATGACTTCTTCATGTCGGGTTTGCTACAAAAAGGTTGATATCAAGTATGGTCAATATTCTTGTAATGGTGAAGATTGCTCTTATGAAGCTCATTCTAAATGTGCCACACATGAAAATGTTTGGGATGGGAGGGAACTCGAGTGAGAAACAGAAGAACCAGACAAAACTGAAGATATTGCACCTTTCAGAAAGGTAAGAGATGGCTTGATAGATCATTTTTGTCATAAACATCATCTAAGGCTCCAAGAATACATCGGTGTTAGAGAAATAGAGAAGCAATGCCAAGCGTGCATCCTTCCAATCGGCTCTCATCACTTCTATCATTGTGAGAAATGTGATTTCTTTCTCCACGAGGTATGTGCTGATATTCCCCGAAAGTTGGATCATGCGCTGCACAATCACTCTCTTTACTTAGACTCGTCTCCACTAGACGACTACACTTACATGTACTGTTCAGCTTGTCTCCGAGCGTCCACTGGTTTCAAATACAAATGCTCTGAAAAGTATTGTCAAGACAAAGGTTTTATGCTAGATGTTCGATGCATTTTAGTTCCCGAATGCTACACCCATAAAAGCCATGAACATCCTCTTTTCATCTCCACATTCTATAGCAAGAAAAACAAGATATACTGCAAGGGGTGCAAGAAGACATGCTTGGATTCTCATCTACAATGTACGGTATGCGAATTTGCTTTGTGTTACCCATGTGCTACAATTCCAAGTGAAATACACTACAAATATGACAAGCACCCTCTCACACTTTCTCACGGAGAAACCGCGGATGGGATGTATTGGTGCGAGGTGTGTGAGAAAGAAGTAGATCCAACAGAATGGTTCTACACATGCGACAAATGCCGCATCACGATCCACCTTCAATGCGTATTCGGATCATCTACTTTTATGAAGCCTGGTTCTAAATTCAGATACCATTATGGAACGGTGAAAGTCTTACGCAACAATAGTAACACTCGACCGTTCTGCTATAAATGTGAGAGCCGTTGCGTAGATACCATCTACTACGAAGGCTACAAATCGTATAGGAAGGTATTAGGCAAGAATGGCTACGCTCATGAGATGGTTCTTTGTTCTTTAGACTGTTTATGGAGAGAGATGTATTGGTTCTAAAACATATATACTTGTTTCGGG